TTTAATCTGAAAATAAGAATATGTGTTGTTGGATCAACATAATTATCTGTTTTTTTTTTCCATACTCATGTTTCCTCCGTGTTAAAAGGCGATATAAAACATTGAGTTGTAAGATCTGACGGCAAGAATTCAAAAAGTTATTTCAATGGCTAAGTCGTCTGCTTCCGGGTGACCTCTGCTGACCTCATCAGTTTTTACCGTTCTCCTCTTGTCCACTGAAAGAAATCAAGTATGCCATCTACAGCTACCTGAGTCCACGTGAATCCACTATGTGCGCTGTTTCTTGTTCTTTTATCATTCTCCTCACCTTCTCACCTTCCTTTTACTTTCTCTTCTTTGCCTTATTTCTCTCGTCTTCTTTCCCCACAAATGCTTTGTTCTCCTCTTACTCTCATCCAATCCCTGTCCTTTCATCAGTTCGGCGCTGTCTTCCTGCCACAATCGGGTGTATCAGAGTCTTGCCAACCTAATCCGCTGGGCCGACCAGGTGATGCTGGACGGCATCGACCTGGAGGACAAGGAAAATGTGGCTTCAGTCACCATCGTCATCAAAGCAGTGCTGGACGGAGTAAAGGTACGTAGGAACCAGGAAATATTCTCTGTGGTGTTATCAAAAAGAGCTGCTAGAGCTGACTGTGTTGTGTTTGTACATGAACAGGAGTTGGTGAAGCTGACCATAGAGAAACAGGAGCAGCCGTCGCCCACCTCTCCTAACAAACCAGCACCACCTGCTACCACAGCAGAGAGGTGAGTACACAGTGTGCCTTCCAGAATACACACACACTCATTCTGACACTCAAGGCAGTTCACTCAGTCAGCAACTTTTATGTGTGTAGCAGCGTGTCGTCAGAGATGCCCTCGATAGATCGGGAGCAGGAGGTCTCCAGTAAGACGGCTCCAGCAGCTGCTCCTGCAGAGGCTGCCTCCGACGTCCAAGATGAGGACGTCGCCCCTCCCAAACCCCCTCTACCTGAAGCCAAGATGGCTGAACTCAGGTGAGGCTGACGGACACAATTATATTCAGCATCTGCTCCACGTCGAGATTTCTTTTCTTTTCTTTTTTTTTTCTTTGGTCGGAAGTATAGTGTAAGTTTTATCAAAGTAAAACGTTGATAACAGTCTCGTTCAAGTGTTTGTCAGAGATTATTTTTCAGTTCAAGGTTTCTTTTTGTCTGTTTTGTCTCCGTCCAATCAGAAGCCAAAGCTGTGCGACAATGTGGTCAAAGGTTTCTTTATAGCCTTTTGCACTTTAGCCACAAATGAAGAAGTACCCGATATAGATGTTTTCATCATTATTGTTTTAAAAATAAGTTAAAGTTGAAGTGAAACAGTTTCGTAAGATGAGGAATGAAGAAGGCGTTAAAGGCGTACTTTTGTGCCTTAGGGGATTTCCAAACTTTTCTTTCATTTTCACCTATTTATACTTTGAGTGGGATGATGTTTTATGATGTTGTTTAAAAGTTTTTTTCAAAGCAATCCATCCAAAGGTCCATCAATCCAAACCTTCTCCTTGAAACTTTCATCACTTTCATACTTAAGACTTTACATTTGGCACACTTTGGTTGCTGCTGTCTCTTCCCATCTTACTCTCTCTGCTGTCTCTGTCGGTTTGTCTCATCTCTGGTTTCCCCGTTGGATTTCGGGGAACAGAGCACAGTTGAGTGCTGACGCTGGCCAAAGGAGACCCTCTCAGAAGGAGAAGTATGTCAGCCCTCAGGATCATCCGTCTCCATTATAACATCCCAACAAACCCCCCCCCCCTTCCTTGTACAGCTTCTGAATTGGATGACTGGTTTTTTTTGTTTTTTTTTACTTGCATGGTTGCATTATCCCAACATTTGTGTCAACCTGTGCATTCCCTGAAGAACCCGTCATCCAATCAGAAGACAGTCCCAGTGCATGAGAGTGTGTTACTGACCCATGCAGTGTTTTGTTTCTGCTGGCCTCCATGGCATGGCGCCTTGTGTTCCCCATTTTTGACTTTGCATTAACTCACTGGGAGAATTTTGGATTGACATTGCGGGACAGCTTCATGTTACAGCTACGAGAAGCTGACATGAAACAGTCCCATCTCACTATTCCACAGGAAGGATGATAACGTGTGTGTTCATGTATACATACAAGGTTTCATGTGTGCATACATGCCTTTGAAAGCCGTGGTTTTCCTGCTTGTCTGATTGTCTTTATTGATTTTGCCTCGAGGATTAAAAAAAAAACAAAAAAAAAACATTATACATTCCTGGTATTATATTCCGCTCTTTCTGTGTATCTGCCAACAGTCCCCCACCGGCTCTTCCTCCTAAGAAGCGTCAGTCTGCCCCCTCGCCCACACGAGTCGCAGTGGTCGCCCCAATGAGCCGCGGCTCCAGTCTGCCCTGCAGCGTCCACAGACAGGTGAGGGATTCAAGATTCGAGTCTTTATTATCATTGTGCAAAACAATGAAATAGCAAAGGCTCCCCCTGAGCTGGTAGTGCGGAAAAAGATAAAAGCAGTATTAAGAAACTGGGAAAAATAAAACAGTTAGAATGACAGCAGTGTCAAAAGAATCTCAAAACAAAAATTCGACAAAATAGACTAAAAGAAAACAGGAATAAATATATGTAAAGATATACATTCTTTGTCTATGCAAAGTGTAAAATACAGTGATTGGTCATCTGTTGATACTATTTGTTCAGACTAATGCTGATATTAGTGAAGATAATAATCCATCTTGAGGTCCCTTTTTAATATCAACATAATGTACATGAAATAAACTAAACAACAGTGAAGCTAAATGTCTCTCTTTTGACTTTGCAGCAGCAGGACTACGAGCAGGAGTTCCTTCAGAGGCGTTTCTCCGGTGGGAGCCAGTCCTACGGGGGCGACTCTCCGCGCCTGTCTCCGTGCAGCAGCATGGGCAAACTCAGCAAGTCGGACGAACAGCTCTCGTCCATGGAGCAGGACAGCGGTCAGTGTTCTCGTAACACCAGCTGTGAGACGCTTGGTAAGACTACAGAGACAAACAGAGGGTCAGGACTCAGAGGAGTTTCATCACATTTTCAATCCCAGTCCACTGGTTACACTTTAATAAGTGTAGCTTTCAACATTTCCAAAAAACTAAAAATGTCTCATGTCAGAGAGAGATGTTGGCTTAGGTGATGGACATACTTAAAATTTCTATATTTATATTTTTAATTAGTAGTGTACCTAAAGGATTTCACATAATAAGCAGAGACTTAAACATGAGTTGAGCAGCTCCAAACATTCATGTGAATGAAATGCTCACTTCTATGACTTTCTGTAGTGGCACCCTAACTCTGCCAACATGATGAGCGTCCAAACATAGCTTCTCCCCAATCTCTCTTCTGCTATTATTTTGATTATTGGATTGAATTTTGGTCTCCAAAGTACTTCAACACCCAGAAATATCTTACAACATCCGGACATTAATTTAAACCTTTGTGTTGGTATCTTGTCAACCGTCTCAATTTGGTCTTTGTGTTTTCTTTTTTACTGTTTGTCATCACTTGTTCACTAGTTTTTCCAGTGTATTTCCCCAAGAAAGGCAAAAAAAATGACCTTTTAAAAAGCTGATTGCTTCAAGTATTGATGATCCAAATACATAACTACATAAGTTCAGAGTATATTTATGATATACATGAAAGTTAAACTCTCCTGCATTTGATGTTCCACAATCAGACGATCATTTCTCTGGAGAGCGGTCATCACTTTGTTGATCTTATCGAACCTGCACAACACATTATGCGGTCTTAAAGTGGCGCTACAGAGTGGTGGATCATTTTACACACACAACCCACACGCAGACACCGACATTCAAAGAGCACACAGACAAGACCTAATACAGAAAAGTTTCCTAAACTGAAACCATAATGGAGTTTACAGTAGCTGAGATAGTGGACTCATGGTTACACTCTGATTGTAAGATGATAAAAAGTAAATGTTTAAAGCTCCTGTATGGAGTTTTTAGCTGGTTATAAAACAGACTGAAGCTAATATGTATGTCTTTTTATGAGCAAACAAGATCATTGGCATAACAATTGTTTATTTCTTTGTAGTTCTTGCCTTGTAGTTAAATGCCTGAAACAGCTGCTGGAGGGTAGGTGTCAGACCAAGAGATTCACAGCACACTGCAGAAACAGACCTTTTTTACATTTTCAAGATTCACAGTGAGGGAAACATTTGACTGCTGAAGTTAGCAGGTTATGATATTTGTTGTAAAACACTACTTACACATGTATAGGACACAAACAGCAAACAGATAAGAGGTACCACTTTGTCCACAGGATCGCCAAAAGCATCAGAAACTGAGAGATTAGCTTTAATTATGTAACGGGCTGTTTTATTTCACTTCATGATTATATTTTGTACCTTTTCCCTACTTTCCAGACAACACAGAGAATTACGACCCAGACTATGACTTCCTCCACCAGGACTTGTCGGTAGGGGAAAACCTTCCCCCAATACCTGTAGGAGGATGTCTGAGCCCCCTGCCCGAGTCTCACAGCGAGTCCTCATCCCCGGTCCCCGGACAGCACCCCACACATCCCCGCTTCAGCGCACCTCCGCCCCAGCAGCCACCGGAATACTGGACCCCGCAGCCCAATCAAACCAATCCCCTACTGTCCCGCATCAGTGCCCCCCCTGCCCTGCCCCAAAAGAAGCGACGCAGCACCCAGTCATTGCCCTTCCCCGACGGAGGATCCCGCGTGCTTTACGAGCGCTTCCCTTCCCATTACGACAACCTGTCGGAAGAGGAGCTGCACCCGACGCCGCCGTTCCACTTCTCACGCCCATCTCGCCCATGCCTCAGACGAACGGGGGCGTGTTCGTCGCGCAGTACATCGCCAGCGAGTGTGCGGATGTCCCATCAAGTCCACCGCCTCTGCCTGAGAAGAAAAGCAGACACAGTAAGTGGGGAAAAAAAAGAAAGAGAGGGGATATAATGAGGGAGCGATGAAGGCAAGGAAGGAAGGAAGAGCTTTAAATGAGACGACTGAGCAGAGGTCACCGAGGAAGAGAAAGGGACAAAGGGAAGAATACAGAGGGGCATGAGATGGATTTAGGAAGACACTTAAGACTTTGGCTCCATTTCATTCTCAGTTTGTTGAAAGCATAGCTCATGTCAAAGAAATATGTCACCGTGATTAGAGTCAGGAAGTGAATACCAGGATGTGCTACAATGGGTCCGGCTCCAGGGGCACAGAGGGCAACGTTTGGTCATTTCCTGACACACCTGCTACATCACTTCCTCTCTCACTACTGTATCATGTCATTCCATACAGCCAGCCCTTCCTGTTAGCTGAAACACTTACTGTATGACGATGTAGACATTATTTTTCAAGTGGAAATCGTCATGAGTTCAGTTTACATGAATACGAAGACTTGACACAACTTGCCAGTTACTGCTGAATATATCTTCTCTTACTCTGAAAGGTTTTTTTTTTTTTTTTTTTTTAATTCCTAGAAATATTAACCAATGATATCATGATGTCGTCATTGGGCTGATCTCTTTTTTTTTTGGCCCCGAGCTGTTTTTGCCAAAAGCAGTCATTGTGTGTGGAATTTGCAAGACATGGGTGTTAACAGAGCGGAGAGGATCTAATGAAAGATGCTTTTGAGTTGCATCATGGGATGTGAAGGAGTTGGTGTTTTTGGAGCTTGACTTATACAAGGGGGAAAGAAGTACAGATGAATCTGCCTTTGGTGCTTCAGTGTTTACTGTTCTTTTTTAAGACATGTCTCTTGTGAGTCTACTTCTAATATTGGTGGAGTGCAGGAGCAAATGATTGTACAGTACTGCACCCTTAACAAGAAGTGAGGAGTAATTTGATTCAAAAAGGGATTTAGTGTGGTTCAATTACTGAAGCGACATGTATTTTCTTGACTCTTTGAGTTTGAAGTAAACAGTTCTCTTCATTTAATAACGGTATTTATTTTGCGTCTGATCCACCACCCTCCTTTCAGTCCTCCAGTACATGCAGTTTGTCGAAGACTACTCGGAGCCCCAGCCCTCCGTCTTCTACCAGTTGCCGCAGAGCGAGAGCATCTACGAGCAGCGCAACAAGCGCTTCCAGGAGGTCTACCGCTTCAACGACTCCTTCAGCAGCACCGACTCAGTCCACGAGCCGCTGCTGCCGCCGGCGCTGCCCCCGAAACAAAGGCAACTGGTAAGAAACCCCCTTCCAAATACGATGACAGGGACCATTTGCTTTTTGGGTTTGGACTGTGGAAGCAAAGCTGTAATTATAATTCTTTAAATAGTTGGGTTCCCTTTTCTCTAATTAAGAGCAGAACTTTGAGGCTGTGTGGATCCTGCATTGGCAACACAGTTAATTTAAGGGATTATACATAGATCAATGAGACGAAGAGCTTTGTGAGAACAGGTTTACTCGTACATTTCAACAATATAAAAACAAATGTCTGCCGTACAGCTCAGTGTTGGTCACAGGCTCTTCATCCTTAACGCTGGGAAGAAAACGAGTGTGAAAGAATGCAGATTGCACTCTGCAGCTGAAGTACATTCCAGTGGTAATCCTCATCAATTTTCTCTCGAGCCTCCTCCTATCTTGTTATCTCTCTCACCTATTCAACCCCCCCTTACTCTCTCCATCTCCCCTCCGAGCTTTCCTTTTTTTTTTTGTGTAAGGAAAGCAGCCGTCTGTGTGAACATAGAGGTGTTTGCTTGTTAGTGAGAGATAAGACCAGCCTCTATCAGGCCCACATCAGATCCAGTCCACTTATCTCAATCCGGGTCGGCATCGGGGTTAATTGAGACGACTGTCAGAGAGAGAGAGAGAGAGAGAGAGAGAGAGAGAGAGAGCTCATAGCAGTAGAAGGGGACACTGTGATGTGTCAGAATTTGAATTAAAACATTTGAAGGCTCAATGCAGAATAAGTAATGGGGGTCCTTATGATAATACTACCTCAGGTTAAACCCTGTTTTATTTGCTCCCTTTTGGTCTTCTTACTTGTTTGAAGTGGGAGGGAACCATCTAAAAAATGATGTCATCAATTCGGTGTATCGGTTGTTTTGTCATTTTCACACAGTCCCGATGGAGGAATTGCCACTAAACTTAATCAATAATATCTTAAGACGTCTTTTAACCTTGAATGTTGCTTGTATAGGAAAACGTAATGTATTTGTCACCCAGGTGGATTTGTAGGGATGCATATACCGGTACTTGGATTCTTGCAGAATTCCAATATGCACGTTTTAATAGTTTGTTGGCTAATTACAGGTAATAGTCCCTGCGATAAGGTAGAAAACAATTTGTGCATATCTATCGTATTTATAAAGCCTCTCCTGTAGGGGAATCAACATATTGATGAGCCTACTTACTCGCTGGCTTACATGCTGATAAGAATTGTTCAAAATGTACACATTCACTGTGCAAAAACAGAAAACTACTTTAAAGCTTACATGTCAAACCTCAGGTATATATTTGTATACAGCATTTTTAATGTACATACTTCAATCTACTGTGACGCTTCTAAATGGAGCTGAATGAAGAAACCCTTAATTGCTGTTCTTGGCAGCAGAAATATTCAGTTAGAGCAGATTCTGACACTGAATTTTAAAGCCTTTATCGGGCTGTGTAGACGTCGTTCTAACTTGTGCATCCCTACTTATTTCCCATAAACAATGCTACATTGCAAAGATTTAGGGTAACAAGTTTTCATGTTGGGGATGCATCAGCCCATTTGACACAAAGACAGCAGTTAATGGGAAGAAGATCAGGTTCAACTATACCGGAATTTCCCTGTAAGGATCACCAATGTGGATCTACACTGAGAGTCAGATGTTCACTAGAAGGAGCTTCGTTTTGCAGGACTGTCACAAATAAGATTTCCCACAAAGAAACAAACATGCCCATTTTTCTGCCTGCCATTCATATATGAAGGTGACAAACGAATGTAAAGTTGGCCTGAAGCTCTGTAACAACGAAGAAAGTACATTTGTGGATAGTAAACAAATGACACTCTTCTCCAGGGTGCAGCTACAGTACATTTACAGTATCACAGCCCAGTGAGGAGAAAATAGACTTTGAGTGTCAGTCTGCCCAGGCCACCTCAGAGAGTCTTTCTTCTTCCTCTTTGTCCATTGTCCTCTCTCTGCCACCACAGCTGTGTATTCTGAGCCTTGTGTGCCCGGCTCTTTATTTTTATCACGCTTTTGTCTGCGCGTACAGTCCAACCGCACTCATCTCTGCTCCCGCCGCACGACCCTAATCTGGCCTCATGTTTTGGACTTGATGAGCTCGTGGCCCAGTGGAATAAGCCTGTTTGCCTCCTGCATAAGCCCGTGTTCCAGGCTTACACGCTTTGGCGACTTTACAAGGCTTTGCAGCAAAAAAAATAAAAAAATACAAAAAAAAGTAATTTCAGCTGCAGTGTGGATAAGGAAATGGGTGAAAAAACCAAAGCAGATAATATTGGCAGTGTTTAGAATGTGCTGTAGTTGGCCTGGTTTCAGTAAAGCTCTTAAAGCTCGGGGCGTTAAAAGAAAGGTTATTGGGCTGTCACAGTCTACATTATGTGTGTAACCTTTACACATCACTTGACCCCCCTGCTCATTAGGGCTTTCCAGGGAGAACCTTTAATGAAACATAACGGTATATTCAGTGGTAGTCTGTATTTATTTCAAAAGCCAGTGAGCTGATACTTCTAATTCAAACTCCCAGAATCCTTCCAGCTTCTCACCACTTTGACTACTGATTTTCTGCTGAACTTTGATTAAATCTGCTCAGATTCACTCTTACTTACTAGTGTAATCAACTGTCCACTTTTTTTTTCTTCTCTTCCTCCCTTAACACCCCTAATTTTCCCCTTTTACCTGCTTTAACTCTCTCTACTCTTACTCTTTCTTTCTTTCTTTCTTTCTTCTTTGTTTCCGTCTCAGGCCTCCCACACTTCCTCCCCCTCTTCTTCCTCTTCTTCCTCTCTCTCCTGCCACCTCCAGCCGTCTGTAGCGGCGATGGAGGAGGCGGGCTCTGGGCTGGGCCTCAGCATGTCCGTTTCTAACTCCTACCTGATTGGACAGGCGTCTTTGACCACGCCCACGGTAAGTTCCTGACCCTCTCTCGCTCTCTCGCTTAAACGCCATCCCTCCACCTCCATTTCTCTGCTCCGGTTGGTGTGGGTGCTGTGTGGTCCGGTCTGGTCCAGGGAGCCCGACCTGTCTGTGCACCATATGTGATACATCCTCCCTCTGACCCTCTGAGGTCTCCGATGGGGGCCTTCCATCCCTCGAGGGTCGCTGGTTTGCTTGCTGTGTGGTCCTTCGTTTAGCTGCATCGCCCTCCATGTGTGCATTTGTTTTGACAGTGTGAATTTGTTGCTTTGTTGTGTGTTTTTTTTAGCTGAGGCATCAGATATGCTGTTATTAATGTGTGCTTTGTGTGGTTGTGACGTGAGTGTGTGCAGTTATCTGTTGTGGTTGTGTGCAGCCTTTGGCTACCATAGTTTGTATGTTGCACTACAGCATTCCCCCACATGATAAAGCAATGATTTGACCCTTTCCATCTTTTCATTTCGCCTCAGAGATGCAGCAAAAACAGTTCCAGTGCACTGGAAAAAGTTAGCTCTCTAAAACAAGGAAAAATAAAGGAACAAAAAAAAAAACGGGGAAATTGTTACTTGTCTGCCGTAAATTGTCTGCCGTAATTTACCTGGTGATAATGGTCTGAAAGACCCAATTGATGTTTTAAAACTTGCAGGGCCAGACAGAAAATATAGATACTGTAGGTCACATATGAAGAATTTTTTTTTTTCTAAAAATGTAGGAAAGAGTGCTTCAACGAAGTTAGTATCCAGTGTCTCAATAGTTAAGTGTTAATAAGTCATCAGGAATAAATGTACCAGTAAAGGTAGTCCGAGTCACTTGGTCAAAGAAATCCATTTCAGGCTAATTTCCTTGCCAAACTTGGTTCAAGTCAAATACCATCCTGGTGATGTAACAGACTTGTTCAATCGTTGAGATGACTCAGATGAAAAGTGTATTGTCATAACATATGAAATAGAGGGGGAAAAAATCTTTTTATTTAAAAAAGAGAGATTCTTATCTTCTGAGATTTTATATCTATTCATAACTTCCAAATAAAATTGGCTAATCAGTCAGTCCCTGCTAAGTGCTAAGGCTAGTTCTTTGACTCAGTAGGATACCAAATAGAGCAGCAAGAAATTCAGCCAGTCTCACAGATGACTGGAGTATTACTAATTCAAAAATAGACTTTGAATCATTCATCCAGAATTGTTTTGAATCGAAAAAAAGGATTCTGAATTGAATCGTGAGACACCTAAAGATTCCCAGCCCTAATATGAAGGTATAATACGGATAAAAATGCTTTAAATAATACATCTAAAGCTGCTTTGTAATTGTCACTGTTGATCAAACAGATTTCTAATTCTGATAATCCTAATTGAAGCCGCTCAGAATCAGGTCAAAATCTCAATAACAAATTACAATAATTTATCAAGTTTGTTCAGAGCGAAAAAGCTTGAAGTAAGGCAAATGAGTAAATACATTGCCCAACAAGAACTGCCTTGTTAGAAGAAGTCTGTGGGTAATATGCTGCCTTGATTTAAAGCTCGTGATGAACTTTGATTTAGTGTCGCTTTGGTGCCCCATGTGGACAAAGTGGGACCTCTTATCTCTCTCCTGTGCATTTGTAAGTAGTGTGCTTTAATAAAAAACACCCACACATGGCAGTGGTTTCAGGCATTAAAAATAGCTTTATAGAAAAAATCCCTTCTGTTTCTGATGGTCTTGTTTGCTTTTGTAAGTCATAAAGAGACACCAATAGTCATTTCAGAATTTTTCTTTGCTTTGCATAGTTAGTGGAAAGAAAAAGAAATATTCCGTAAGTCATATTGGTATTAGAGAATTTCCCTCTTTGTGTGTGTTGCTGCTGTTATTTTTACAGACTAGAATTTCCCAACAGCATTGGAATTTTTGAGAAAAAGAGGAGATTAGTTTCCAGATGATCCTGCGCGTCTGTGCATGATCACGTGCATGCATATTGTGTGTGTGTGTGTGTGTGTTTATGCCAAGTGTGTGTGCAGTGTTTATCAGTGATCTGTATGTGCGCCTCCATGATGGTATGCAGGAACAGGGGTAATATGTGCAACAAGTTCGGACAGGTTACCACTGCCTCCCTGCAGACACACATCTCCAAAGCTGGCCACACACAAACACACCAGCACACACATCAAGACATGGCTTGTCTAAACACACATACATACTGCAAGTTGATGCTAGCTTATCTTTGAGGTTCCTTGTTAAACATTTGTGTCTTCCTTGTTCTCTCACTGGAGATGCTTCTCTTGCCAATGGGTGCATTTTTTTTATTTTTTAGATGTGTTTGTGTGTGTGTTTGTGTGTGTGTGTGTGCATTTCTTGTTCAGACACATCATCCTCATAGTCCACGCTTAACGGAGGTGTTGGAGAAAGATGTGAACATTTTTTTTCCCTCCTCCGCTTCCTATAATTCAGCCTCTTCTTTTTTTCTTCTAACTGCTCTGTCTTCACCTCTCTAATCCCTTACTCCTGTATTTTATGTTATTTTCTTTCTCTATTTTTTTTTTTCCTGCTTTCCTTCTTTCCACCAATCGCAGAGCTTGGACCAGGTTGCCTTGACCAATGCCACCAATCTGGATGGCGGCGGGGGCGGGCCCAACGGTTTGCTGGCCGGCTCAGTGGGCTCTGTGGCTGTCTGTCTTCCTTCTGAGACCTCTCTCACTGACTCTCTCCACACCTCAGCGGTGAGCTTACACAGACTGATGTGTGGACTCAGGATGCCAACATGAACAGGCTCTCTCAGACTGATAATAAAATGTGATGCTGGAGCCGTTCCCTCGGCAGATTGTTGTCAGATTACAGCAGTTTGCTGTCCCGTATTGTTGCACAGATGATAATACAGTGACTCATTCTCTTGTTGTGATTATCACTGCCCACAAACTGTCTGCTGTCTGAGTATTGCTCTTAAAAGAATCCCAGTGGAGCATGTTGCACTGCTTTTTTTTTTGCCTGTAAATATAATTACCTTTACAAATGACGCTCTCCAGTGCCACCTGGTGGTCGGCTGGAAAACACACCGCCCACTGTACACAACTAAAACCTCGACTAGCGGCCGTCTCTCTTCCTGAACTATATATTCACACTGTTAAGCAAAAACTCTGTGCCCCTCTCCGCACCCTCACGCCTGGGTTTGTGTCACCCCTGTCTCCCCGTAGAGCGAGAGCGCGAATGACGAGGGCGGGGAGGGGGAGTACGTCAACTTGTACTCGTCCAACCAGGCCAACGGGGAGCTGTCTCTCGCCCTCAGAGTAAGTAGCTGACCGTCCGCCACAGGTTGAAAGGTCATTTCCATTTACACGTCGCTCCATCGTTTCAGGATATGAATCAATGTGAGGTCAGGATGCCCCCGTTTGACTGGCAGAGCCATTCATCTGTTGCACTCTGCAGTGCTCATTGATTCATCTCGTGGACTGATGGCGCTGAAATGGAATGTGAATGTAGACAAAACCTGACCGAGCATGACTTCAGGTTCATGGGTTTGCCTGCAAGAGGACTTTCTGTTTCCGTGGAGAGAGGAAAAAGATGTCCGCCTGTATGTTACTCTGACTGCCCGGCTGGTGATTGCTCGCTCTCTCTCTCTCTCTCTCTCTCTCTCTCTCTCTCTCCCTCTCTCTCTCCCCCTCTTTGGCTGTGCTTCAACTGTAACAAGCATTTAACCTTGTTCCAATCTAACACCTGACATGTGGCTGCTCCTTAAGGGATTCTCAATGGTTCACCGGTTTTCAATTTTCCAATAACATTCCTCGTAACGGCTTATGTGCATGTGTGACGGCATCAGTGTGTGCTTGGTTGTGTTACTTTGGGCTCGTGTGAATTCAAGGTGTATTTGAGTCCTGTTTCGGGGTGTTTAACACAAGTGAGAGTGACGGCAAAAGAGATGATATGTGATTGTGTTCGTAGTGTTGCGTTCGGTGCGGGTTCAGAGTGTGTGAGTTCACCCCTCTGGTTTCTTTGGGTTTCCCCGCTCATACTTAGAGGAAAACTGCATTTTTACCAACACTAATCAGTACAATATCCTTACTGTGACATTTGTACAAAGCATCCATCTTCCCCTCCACCCAAAAGTGTAGCATGCACACTGGGGGTTCATACGATCTCATCAATATCCTGCCGCCTGTCACTGCATGGAATCACTCGCCAGTGATGGTCCGTGTAACCCGCAGCACAGATGTTGATTTTTGTTTTTCCATCCATCGATTAGGAAACGATCACAGCTGACGATGTGCTTCAAGACCCCGCCCCTCAGATGCCAAACAGCAACAGCAAAGAGGCTTTGGACAAGGAGCGGTAAGAGTCATACAAAAAGGTCTACAGTTTGTGCTGTACACTCAGTTTCAGACGACCTTAATTTATCCCAGAAGGGCAATTCAGTTTCACAGCCTAACAGGTCTTTATTTAAGAATAATCAAGACAAAAGAAAGGAAACAAACAGTCACGGCAACATTCAGATAATTACATTCACATGCCAGTAACAGCAGATCAGCAGATGAACATGTCTTTAAACACTCACCTTTTATAGTGTGTTTCTTTTGTAGTAATATATAATACTAAGGTTGTCACTATACAAAATGCTTAAAAGAACACTTTAGTCCTAGACACCCAATATTGGGTTATATCTTGTTTTAAATTGCCAAAAAATGAAAGAAAACTCCTGTTAGCATCAAATCATCACATTTAGCTTAAACCAATTAACAATTGCTTAATAATGGCCAAAACATTTCATGGATTACAAAAAATATTTCTACATTATCTTCAAACATGTCCATGATTATTGCTGTGAAATAAAAGCTTAGGAGTATCTGTGCTAAAGACATCTTCCTGTGTTTGTTTTAGGCGGCAAAAGTCGACAGAGTCGGCCGGGAGCGACGAGGAAGACGTGGACGAGCTCTCTCTCATAGATCACAAGGAGATCATGAGCAGGATAACATTAAAACAAGAAGTAAGACCAACAGCAGAGCTGCTGCTGCGGCTGCATGCTTTCTGTTTTTAGGAATCTGCTGTGATAGAAGCATGCAGCCCCTGCATACAAAGCACATTCTATCCTTTTAGTGCAGCGCTGGCTAAAGGTCACTGTGAGTCACTCTAATATAAAACCCTGATCCTGAGATCCTCCATTGATAGTCAATGCTTCCCTCTGCTGTGAACCCATTGAAACTGCAGTGCTTAGAATCGACAAACCACCCTTCTCCTCCTCCTCCTCCTCCTCCTCCTACGCCTCTTCCTCCTCCTCCTCTTCCTCCTTTGTCCTGTGTGGTGCAGTCTGATAGACAGATGTGTAGAAATATTGCTCGTCAGTCTGCAAGGTTAGGGCCAGTGGGACAGCAGTGATTTACAGATGAGATGTGGAGGGATCAGAAGTGGAAAGGAGGGAAGATTCATAGCCTGTGAGGACATTTTTAGAGCTGTTGCAGGAGACATATTGCAGTGGTGAGGCTTTTATCATACACAAGTCTGACTTTTTCTTCGTCATCAGAGGAGCTGGTGCAGGACGGGGAGAGGTGGGGGCCTTTTAAGAGGAGGTTGGGGGGGGGGGGAGTGAGAAAAGAAAAAAAAATACAGGCAGAAGAGAAAGGGGCTGCTACATTTTGGGCTAGACTGCATCACTACCCATCAACTCTCACCACTCTCTTTTCCTCTCCTGTTTTCACTCCATTTCATCTTTCATCTTTTCCTCTTCTTTAATTCTTTGCTCATTTTTTTTTCCAGAATGATGACGGCCCTGACGTCCGTGCTGGATCAGGAGATATTCTATTAGTGCACGCTACAGAAACAGACCGCAAAGGTACAGTACAGCACACATCAAGGCTGGAGTATACAGGGCAGTATGTTAGTGTGCTTCAGGGTCACTGGTGCAGCTTTGTTTTGTTTTCATAGCGTAAGAGCCATTGGGCATTCAAAGATCTTTTTTATTTTCAGTAATTTGACGAGTCTGAGAAGCATTTTAAAACAGCCTCAGTCTCACTCTCTCTCTCTGGTTCTCTTATTTGCGATGTGTCAGTCTGGATATGTAACCTTCACATTTTAATAGATGTGTTTTTGGCTTAATTAGGTTCTCTGATACATTTCCACTCAAATATGTTGTTTTTTATTCTCTCCTGTTTTTCCTTGACAGATCTCGTTTTGTACTGTGAAGCCTTTCTGACTACATATAGGACTTTTATAACCCCCGAGGACCTCATTAAGAAGCTACACTACAGATATCCTTTTCAGATCACTCAACATGTCACTGGGAGCTTAAACGTCTGCTGACTGAAGGCTGTTATTAAAATCCTCATTTACCAAGGAAAGAGCCCTTTATCTGTTTTTTGCTTTGATTCAGCTCTTTCAAAGACTTAGAGCTTCAAAACAAAATGTATTTCTCTCCAGATGGATACTTAACTTCTTAAAGTGTTTGGATTTTTATGATTGTGTGCAGTGCTTAATGGCACCTCAAGAGAGCAATTTACCAAGAACGTTTCCCTCCAAGATATTTCCATAGATGCTGCCTTGACAGCTGGCTTTACAGTAGCAAACTTCAGTTCTGTGTTGTTACTGGTTTAACCATGTAGGGCGAGTGAAGCCTCACAAAGCAAGCAGCTAGCATAGCTGTAGTCCTGCTACTCCAGGTTGAAGTCATGGCAGAGATGCTGTGTAATGATGTGTGTTTTCAGTGCTATGAGGCTAAAGCGAGATCTATTACAAGCTTATTTTTAGGCTATGAAATTGTTCCCTAAATTCAAATCTATTTTAAACCAGAATTTCTGAAAATAGTTAATTTTTTTTAGATTACTATATTGTTTAAACTTTAGAAGAATAGTACATTGTGTTGGTTAAATGCTAACTAATTGTTGAATTAATTTGAACAACCACATTTGAGCTGCAGTACTTAAAAAACATATTCTGACACATCTCATCTTGTCACTAGATGAAACATCACTCATGTCCGATGTGTAGAGTTTAGCATGTTTTATTTTGAAACCGCATATAGTGTTTTTTTTGTGTCCTTGACCACTGAGCACATACACCAGGTTCTGCCACAGTCCAGACACCTTCAAGAAGCGAGTCAGCAAGAACACGTTCTTTGTGCTGGTCCGAGTGGTGGATGAGCTGTGGTGAGTACGACTATGTTGTTTTGGTTCTTAATCTGGGAAAGAACTTCTTCAGAGTGCGTAGTGAACCTCCTCGGGAAACGTGGTATTATAAATAAACAGATATATGAATTAGTAGAAGACTGTGAAAAGAAAATCAGGCTCATCAGAAAATAATGAATCAAAGTATGTGTACGTTTTTATAACATAGAAGTTACCACTGCTTTTAGTATGCTTTTGTTTTGAAAGTATGTAAGCTATATTTTGACAATCGACATACTGTTTGCAAACATTTGCAAAAAGATCCCCCACAGGGTCAAGATTATTAAGAAGATAGGGGGGAATTAAAAAAACCTTCTTTGTATTATTTCTTAATGTCTATAAATATTCTTCAAAGACATAAACAACTAGTGTGATGCACATATACGTCACTTTAAAGGGTCATGAGACGAACAGTTTAGGGAGTACTAGGGAGTAGCTCTCACTTTATTCAACCGTCTCTTTAATGCACATTATATTTTAAAAAAACAATTAAAAATGCTGTTTTTCTCCTGTGTGGTGCAGTTTGGTGGAGCTGACGGACGACATCTTGAAGCAGCTGATGGACCTGGTGTTCACGCTGGTGTGCAACGGCGAGCTCAGCCTCGCCCGTGTGCTCCGCAAGAACATCCTGGACAAGGTGGAGCAGAAGAAGCTGCTACGATACACTAACTCCCTCAAGCCGCTCGCTGCCCGAGGGTCTCTGCAAGGTACTGGGGGTTCACTTCTCTTATTTTTATGGCTTAATACCTTTAAGGCTAACCAACAGTGTTTTTTTTTTCTGGTAGACTGACTCTCAGAAAACTACAACACCACTTAAGATTCCTTTAACTCATATTCAGATATTCTTATTATTGTCCAAGCTAATGTTTGCTCGTGTTTCCAGCCTCTAGCCTCTATCAGGGCAGAGTACCTGAGGTAGCTGTTTCATAATGTACGTTTAATTAGCTTTGTGACTTTGCAACTTCCTAAATTAGTAACTGCTAACACTTCAAATGCTTTTAAAAATGCAAAACTCAGACACAGCAACTAAAGGATATGTTAGAATAATAAAGTAAAACAAAGTTTGAGGCCTAACAAAGAAGATAGTTTGTTGTGGTGAAGGAGACCTGCACCAAAAATGACAGATCAATGAGTGCTCGTTATTTTTTCGACTCACGTCTTCCACCTGAGTAGACGACCATTGCATCAGTTGAAAATGTATTGCTTGGTAAGCAGTCTGACACAGATTGAGACAATTGAGTGTATATCTGCATATATCAATAAGCAGGGCTCTGACTGGCGGAGCCATGTGATTACATCACACCCCTTCTGCTGACCACAGCACTTATTTCAATTATTCATAAATGGCAAAGATCCTTCAGGTCGGGACAGTCCAGGCAGAACAGATTCTTGTGTTGGTCTGAAGCAGACACTCACTCTTACTCGTGTTGTAGTCTGCGATAAGTTTGCTCTGAACGCTCCTCCTCAAATAACTAATGAAAAAAAACCAACACTTGGACATAAATTCACGTGACTATATCTATCATGGCAGAATCTGGATTTGAGAAAAATGTGTCCAACCTGCTGTTTTAAAAGTTTGCCCCATATCCCATCTGTTCACATGGAGGAGACGGCTTTATGACCTATATTGCAGCCTGTCAGCAGGGGGAGCTCTAAATGTTTTGGCTACACTCTCAGGAGGCTGTTGAATATTTATATACAGTTTATGATTGAGACAAAGATGTAATATGACTCGCCTTTCACTACAAAGTAGCACATTTTGCACTTTTATGCTTCACCTTTTTAGAAATAGTCCTGAAATGTATTTAAGAAATAGACTCCTTGCAGCACAAGGAACTACAATGAAAGAAACAGTCCTCTCCTTTATTAGTATCCTGTAGGTGCAGCTAACCTTCAAAGTCAAACTTTAGATTGAAGACATCACCTAATAGTTTATGTCTCCCTAACAGGCCGGGAACCCTGCATGACTTCCGCAGTCACGAGATTGCAGATCAGCTCACTCTCCTTGACGCTGAGCTCTTCTATAAAATTGAGGTACAGCAAGTTGCTTTGTGTTAATCCTCGCAGCATTTGCCCACATCGATTTGTGTGTTTCCACTCTGAACTCCATTTGTTTATTCCTCCTTTTCCACTCAGATTCCTGAGGTGCTGCTTTGGGCCAAGGAGCAGAATGAGGAGAAGAGTCCGAACCTGACTCAGTTCACAGAGCACTTTAATAACATGAGCTATTGGTAAGACCCCCAAACCAAATCTATCCCCTCATTTGTCTATTATTGATATTCCTGACTTCCCCCTTAAAGCATCTTTCCCTCAATGTTGTTACGCCTCATTTATATATTCCTCCTTCACCTGCAGGGTCCGCTCTTTAATAATCCAGCAGGAGAAAGCTCAAGACAGAGAGAAGCTGCTTCTCAAGTTCATCAAGATAATGAAGGTTAGTGACATATAAATATCCACTTCAGACACTGGTTATTTCCCGACCTGTGAACCAGACAACTGTGTGAGCACATGCTTGTTTATTACTCTGGAAAGTATGAGCTGTCCCCCTGAAGTTCAGACAGATTTTTTTATCAGGCCATAATCACGTCGGGCAATTCACAGGTGTTATCTACTATGGGGCGAGTTAAAAGAGCATGGGTCATTAACGGCTGCTGTTGAAGAGGAACCAACTAAATCCATTATTAGGTCTAACGTTTTTAAGAGTTCTTTGGGCGTCTCATAAAGATGCACAAGTTATGTACGCGTCTGTTGCAGATGGTGTTTTTTTTTTTAAATTTTTTTTAACTGATCAAGCACTTTGAGGTTGCTGATTTAAAAACAAGAAATTGCATTCATCATTTTTGGGGCGCCCAGGACAGACAGTATATTTGTTGCCATGGTATCAACACAGTTAGCGATATTGTTGAAATGTTTACAGGTTTTGTGTCAAAGCTTAAAATGTTGGTATGGTGACAGATAGTCTGTCAGCCAAGAGGTCTGCCTCTATAGCACATGTTTCTGTGCTCTTTGGGTCAATGGTAACACCACCACCTGACGCCCCCCCCCCCCCCCCCCCCGAAATATAAAAATGAACAGAGAGGTTCTGATCTTATTCAAGTTGCTGGGATTGTATTTTCTCTCATGTTTTTATGCTTTAACATTTCTTATTTCTTTTTACAGCACTTAAGAAAGTTGAATAATTTCAACTCCTACCTGGCTATTTTGTCTGCCCTTGACTCCGCCCCCATCAGGAGACTGGAGTGGCAGAAACAAACCTCAGAGGTGAGGGGATCATTTGGTTACGATGGGAGGAGTTACATACTGTACATACATGCCATCATGTTCATAACAGAGAAGATCTCTGTTCATAGACGGTGTAGCCATAAAGATGTTGTCACTTTTCCTCTTACACTTTTTCATTCTTCTTCTCTCAGGGATTAGAGGAGTATTGCACATTGATTGACAGCTCCTCCTCCTTCAGAGCGTACAGAGCA